CACTCAAACTGTCCATGGCCATTCCGGAATTTATATTTGAATAGTGACACCTTAAAATTTATTGTGCCCTGAGACCTGGCAGCAGGTGGAAGTGTCCAGGTGTTAGCAAGCCATTTGTGAGCTTGTTAACTGACTGGAGGTCTCTTTGGTCTAAATAAATGCATTAAAATAATGAAAAATGGGAAAAGGGACAGGCAACAGAATAGTAATGAAATTGCATATAATGGAAACAACACAGATGGCTGAAATGAGTTGTAATAAAACTGATCAACTATGAGTGACATAGTGATGGAGGAAGGACTGATGACCTGAAAATAAGTTAAATTTAGGGTCTGTCAATTCAATTTAATTCAATTCAACTCAGCTTGCATGATGCCAAATCACAACAAAAATAATCTCAAGGCTCCTTTACATAGTAAGGTCTAGACCTTAATGTATTACAGGAAAAAAACCCAACAAATCCCCTTTGAGCAGGCACTTGGCGACAGTGAAGAGGAAAAAAAATCCCTTTAATGGAAAAAACCTTTGATGGGTGGCCATCTGCCTTGACTAGTTGGGGTAAGTGGATAGAGGAGAGAGAAAAGAAAAGCACCAAATAACAACTAACAAAACAACAAATAAACAGACTGGGCAGGTTAGTGTGGCCGGTGACTGCTCATCAGAAAGGTAAAGTTCCAGAGCCAGGGATACCTGCAGAAGGGTTTAATCAGAACGAGAGAGCATCAACTAAGGAAGAGAAGAGATACAAAGTTAAAAATTAAAAGATCCTATGATCTAAAGTGAAATTTGAAAGGGAGATTATAATTAACTAAATTATGGAATTTGGAATAAACTTTATTATACTGAGACATCAGAACAGACCACAGAAATGAGAGTAAAGAGACAGCATTCTGTCTGTATTCTAAGAAACTACTATTTTAACATCTTGCCAAGGTCTAGCAGTTGAAAATTAACTTTTTGATTAACACTGGCTTATTAATATTCATTATCCCTGAAATAAAGTAAGTAAAGTAAAGTTAGGGCTGGTTAACTTTGAATTAAGTGCCAAGTTAACTTCAGAATATCTTCTTGACTGTTTCAAAAAATAAAAACGTGAGCAACTAGAAAAACACAACAAGAACATAACAAGGCAAAAACTTAATTAGAAATGAAAAACACATACAGCTGGACACAAGACAAAGATGTTGCTTATAGGAAAACTGAGCAAAAACTAAACAAATTCTGCTCAAAGGAAACCCAAGACACACCTATCCCCTTGTGTTCCAACAGTTACTTAAGGTTTAATAACTTTTGCTATCTTTTTATATCTGATTACAAGTTTTTCTTAATGCTTATCCTCCTGCACCATGGCATATTCACAATAAAACAAACACAACAATATAATCAGGATGTACAGTATTCATGTATACACAGTTTAAACATTAAACATGTACAAAATAATGAAAAAAGTTGCTGCAGAAGGAAAAATGTACACAGCAGCATATCATGGAGTATAATTACATGTGGTTTCATCATAACATTAATAATCAAAAGAACTTAGTTATTTAAGCTATGATGTTTTAAAGCCAAGTAATACTCTGGAAAATTGAATTTTTTTCAAAAGATTACCAAAAATCCCATCTGTTGAGGCCTCTCCACAAGAGAGTGGAATATTCTTTTTTGCAACCACTGGGTGTCACTGGTGACCCATGTAAGATGCTTCTCAGGCTCACTGGTATTTTCCTCTGCATAGCTGGGCTCAGAGACTTTGTACAGAGACGTAGAACAAACTTTTTAAAAACATTTCTTGAACCTTGTTAAGCAGTTCATATGACTTTTGTTCATTCGGTTCTACACATTTAAGTCCAGAATGGAACATTTACTTAGATGAATTCTTAGCAGTCATGAGATAGGCTATCATAAATCCTGCAGGGGCCTGCCATTCAGGATCACTAGTTGCATACCACACAAGTGTTGATCAAAGGGCTTTCAGGTCACAGCCAAGTGTTATCAGGCTAGGATCCAACAGAGTTCTTGCATGTGTTTGGATTTTATTTTGTAATGAACACAGTTCTGGGGTCCAAAGTGTGAACCCAGGATAGGGATTGGGCATCCAGTCAGTCAAGTAAAGAAAAACAGTTTCTGGTCCTGGAGAAGGTCCAGAAACTGGTCCACTGTGTCAACATTTAGTGCAGACACTGACGTTTGGCCATCAGTCATTGTTGGGTCATCTGTGAGCATCTGTCACCCTAGTTTTTGCAGCATGTCCTGCAACTTGCTTTCTTCTTCCACAACCAAAGGACCAAGGACTGACAACACCAGTGCCACTTGTGACTTCTTGTCAGACAAATTCTTGATTTGAAGTAGCTATAAACCTTCTGTGGTGAGCGAGAGCTACTTTTAGAGTTTGTTTATCTGCAGCTGCTGTGCAAGTTTTCAAAAGAGGCATTATGTACAGATCCCATTTTCATCAACTTTGAGAGCAGCTTTTCTATGTGCTTGCTGCAGGTTTGTCAATGTCAACCAATACAAACTCAAACCGTAATGGCAATTCCTATATGGCTACAACATTCAGGCGAATAACACATACTTTAGGCCTAATAACAATTTAACTGTCCTAAAATATAAATCTTTCTCAGTAGAGAATAAGCCGAGTATGAACTCACATTCTTGGAGTTCAAAGACACTGTATGCTAAACTCAGAATGCCAAATTTGCAATAACAAGGTGGAGTAGATATATTTGAACTTATGTGATCGATATGGAAATGTTTAGGATGCTACCAATGAAAATCAGCTGTATAGCAGCCAATAGCCAGGTACAGAGCTCCTGAACAAACATGCAAAGGCAATCAAGCAAACTGGTGTGTGCTCTATGGTGATTGTCTCTCTCAAGTCACAGTTTGAGGCTAATGGCTGTGCAGATACAATGATTCCAGACATTTTAGTTTGAAATATTATAGCTGATTTTCACAGTAAGCTGAAGTGCAATTTGGGGAGTCATGTGTTTCACATTAAAACTGAACTGGTACTCAGAAGGTAATAAAGGAAGTAGTATTATACTATTACGTACTGTTTAGATATCAAATCAAGAATATTTACTTCACACTGATACAAGCATATTTCATATTTAAAAAGAAACTTATTAATGTTTGCTGTGACTTAGGTATTGTTTGTTAACAGTAGGCCTGGTTGGTTTGATAAATTATCAAAATACAGTAGATACCATTGGCAAGAATCAAAGGAAAGGTGTACAAGACAGTAGTGAGACCAGCTATGCTGTATGGGTTAGAGACTGTAGCAGTGAGGAAAAGACAAGAGGCAGAGATGGAGGTAGCAGAGATGGAGGTAGCAGAGATGAGGATGTTGAGGTTCTCTTTAGGAGTGACCAGGAAGGGCAGGATTAGGAATGAACACATCAGAGGGACAGCTCAGGTCGGCTGTTTTGGGGACAAGGTCAGAGAGGCCAGATTGAGATGGTTTGAACATGTGCAGAGGAGGGATAGTGGTTATATTGGTAGAAGGATGTTGGAGATGGAGCTGCCAGGCAAGAGGTCAAGAGGAAGGCCAAAGAGGAGATATATGGATGTGCTAAAAGAGGACATGAAGTTAACTGGGTAATGGGAACAGCCGAAAGAAGAAGAAGAAGAAGAAGAAGAAGAAGAAGAAGAAGAAGAAGAAGAAGAAGAAGAAGAAGAAGAAGAAGAAGAAGAAGAAGAAGAAGAAGAAGAAGAGAGTAGATACTGTTGAAGGAGTATGTTGGGTGTGTGAAAGCAGGCACAAAGGGGGCACATGGTTCTTGGACATGGGACACACTGTTAAGCCTTCTCAATGTTGTGGGCCCAAGTCATTCGAGCACCTGTTATTGAAAGGGTGCCCACATGATGACCCTGTGGATTTGCCTTCACCCTTACAGCCAGACATAATTTATACTAGTGTATTTTTCTTCTGGTTGACAATCATAGAATGGTGACAGTGACTGGACAGTTAAACAAGCCTGGCTTTAAGTTGAAGTTGCCTATTAAGACAGTTGGGCCAATCACTGTATAATCTGAGCAAATATAATGCAAATATTTTACGGTCATCCAGTCAATATCTGCTCTTTGCTTGGGTGAGGACAGGATTCAGGGATGTCTAGTGTTAAGGTCAGAGTGAAAACATTTTCTGATATGTGCATGATGGGTTAGGGTTGAAGAATAGTGTCTCAGGTAATGTTGTCTATGAAACCATGTGCATTTTAGGTTAGAATAGGGTTGGAAAATGATGTTGCTTGTTATGAGGCCCTTACGTTTTATGATGGCATAGCCTGATAACCCTACCCCCTCTGTAAAGATCTAGTAAACCTTGACTTTGGAGACATCTTTGTCAGATTACTGATTGAATACAAAAAAGTACTCCCATGCTCTAAAAAAAAACTAATTACTAAAATGTGATTACAAAGAATTCATTACATGAATACAAAGGCAGACTAAAACTAAACCAAAGTTAAGTGTCAAGGAGAAATATAGAAAGTTATCTTGTAGGACAGTACGCTTTTGCCCACCATATGCGTTTTACCTGGTGTGCCAATGTTTGCATTTCACATTTCCTCCAAAAAACAAAAAAGACTCAGGGCTCAAACTCTGCATCACTTTAATTGCAGTCCTTATGCAGTTTTCCTCAGGCACATATCTATTTTGTGTGCATTGGTATTTTCCTGCCACAAATGAGGCCATGTGTATGGTAATTTAATAAAATCATCGCATAAATTGGATAGTATGGATATTATTCAGCAAATTATGTCTTGTTGTTACGTATTCTAACAACAAAACTCACTGTATTTGACTCACATGCTCTGGGATTTTGTAGCTGTCGTCCGAGTGAGCTTTATTTGTAGCAGACACATATGGGTACCACGTATCAAAGTGTGAGAGATCTAGCAAAGAACATCCCCTGAGTTAGAGATGCTCTAACAAAATAGGTGTGTGCGTCACTGGCGCCACGCAGTGGACGGTACACAGCTCGAATTAAACTCCGATTTGAACCGTATGTACGCGAAAGAAGCCGAGCTGCAGCGGAGCTGTCCGGAACATCCGGCCTGTAGCTTCTCAACATAAACAGCAATGGCGGAGGCAGCAGCAGCGTCTACGGCGGCTTCACCAGTAACAGGAGGTTGGACCAAACACGTAACCTGCAGGTCAGAAAGACAAACGGTTATAGAAATATCGAAGATGATTACGTCGTTTATTGTTTGACACCAAAAATAGCGGTGGCTGGCGAGCGACTGACAGCAGCGTCTTTTGTGACTCGGCTCAGCCGTTCGCTAGCTAGCTTTAACGTAACTACTGTGTTATGTTCAGTGTGTTCGCTACGGTCAAGTAGCAGGGAAGGTTAGCGGCCACTTTACTAACTACGTTTTGAACAATTAACACGGCTAGCGTTAATGCTAAACTGTAACGTCAGACTATGTACAACCAGTTGTCATACAACAAAGGTATAGCTAACTGCATTCCTTCATGTTATTGTCAACTAGTTAGCTGTTCAAAGGTATGTAGTAACGTTAGCTCTACTTCAGCACTAACCAACATTTAAAATAAGCGAGCTTTGTTGGATGGTAAACTTAAATTGCACAATAGCATTAGCTTCCATTAGGTGCCACGTTACATCCATTAGCTAAAGCTTTGAGTCGAATTTGTGTTGTGACAATGGTAAGATTAGCTCGACTACGTTACCAGTCTGAAAGTGAAAAGCACGGACATTCAGATACGGTTGTCTAGCTTAAATCTAGTGGATTGATAAGCGTTTTAAACTTAAAGCTCAGTTTGACATGCCTATTTCAAAATCAACGAAATGAATTAACTTTGTTTCTTGTTAAAGTTCTAGTGTGACAGGTATGGAAATTGTAGTTTAACTAGACCTACTTTGTTTATATTGTGTATTTCCAGGTATTTCATGCATGGTCTTTGCAAAGAAGGAGACAACTGCCGATATTCCCATGATCTGACCAACAGTAAACCTGCAGCCATGATTTGCAAGTTCTTTCAGAAGGGAAACTGTGTGTTTGGGGACCGTTGCAGGCAAGTCGTTATCCATTACAAACACAAAACTGACTTGTTTGTACTCAGCTTGGATGTTGACAGTCATTTGCCACAGCCTAAAAAAGTACTCCCAGTTGTCAGCTGAGTTGCACTATAACTTCCTTTCTAAAATTGGCCATGCTCTCAGCCAAGTGACAGCACAGCAGTTTTACCGGCAGGGCTTCTCAGAAGTGTAGCAGTGTGTTCCCTGAGTGTATCTGACACCTTAGACTGCTGCTTCAGAATGTCAGCATGTTGGTGGTCTGTGTTTGTGGCAGTCCAGTGTAGGTCCAAGGAAATAGAATCACTTGTTTTGCATTACAGCATTGATCTACTGGATGAAATCATGTATCATAAAATATGCAAGTTTTTTTTTCTTGAGTGTTTGTAGAGCTACTAGTTCAACATTCCTGCCAAAATAAGCTTCTTCCCAGGTGTCTCACTATAGGTCTTTGTTAAAATGAAAAGGATGTGTTAGATGCGACCTAAAGCTCAAGAAATGAGGTGTATGTTTTAGTACTTCTGTGCAGAAGCAACTTGGTTTATACAAGTCCCACAGACTCTTGCTTGCAGGACTTTTTTTTTAAACAAAATAAAGTATTATGTGATGGCTTAAGAATTTCCTTGAATGGTCATAATCTCCTGGCTGTTGTGCGTTCACCTGAGCTTGTCTGACCTTCACCGGTGCCATTGTAAAAGCATAATTTTTCGACTGTGCACGGTTTTGTGGATATATTTTACCCTCCTCCTGTCCTGTGACCAGAGAAAAATACAGGGCCTGAGGTTACTGCATGTCTGGGAATATTCATGTACAGGGACTCACTGTTTACCTGACTGGGACTAACCTACAATCAGCTGGCCAGTGAAACACTCCAGGGCAGTGAATGATGAGCTCATCAACGTTGGATTCCGCGGAGCGCAGTACCTGTTTGTTTTGACTGCTTGAGGCCAGTGTGTCTGCTGCATGTGATGTGTTGCCGATTAATGAGTGGATTAATGATCCAAGATGTTTTTGTCGGTGCTACACTAACTGTTGGAATTAATTTTACTACTTTGCGATCGGATGCGGTCGTGTGGGGGAAGACACAGCAATCACCGGTTGGCTTTACTGACCTTGGAGCTACTTGGAAGGGACTTAATGGTAAGTTTTAAAACAAACAAACAAAAAAAACACGTTGCATATCTGTTAATGCAATATTTCTGTAACGTTACAGAGAATTATTGTAAGGCTGGAGGAGTTATTGTGTCTGTATTATGCCAGTTAAAATACGGGGTTTCTCAATTACCTGCTTTGTTTAGAGTGTTACACGTCTCTTTTTTATTGGTACATATGCAGTTGTTTACCTATCTATGGAGGAGAAATTCAAATGAATTAATGATGTTGCGGTTCATTGTTCTGTCCACTTCCGACACAACACCGGCAACAGGAGGTGTGCGCTTTAACAAACTATCCTCTTGTTTTTAAGAAGAGGCTTTCTGGTTTTAGCGTTCTGAAATAATTACGGACTTTTTGGAGTTATGATGGGTGCAAAGAGGTACCCAAGATTAAGCGGATGGAAAATGAGCATGTCATGGGCTCTTAATAAATATAGTTGGCAAGGAATGTAATTATTGATAACTTGAGTCTAGTCATGTAGCTGTGTGAGACAACTGGGTGATTACGTTGGTGAGGTGTATTAAGACATTTGAGAAATGGTGGATAGTACATGGTTACAGGAGAGAAAAGTTGTTGACCAGTCATCTAAAATTTGGGAGAACTTTAACTTAGACAGAAAACTCTCCAGTGCCAACTATGCACCTAAAGAAAACACACAGAGTTACAGAGGAAGGGGAGCCTGGAGCTAAGTAGGCCATTAATTTTAGTTAATATAAGAAATCATGGAACAATAATAATAATGTTCCCAGTTTTAAAGCTGCATTAACTAAATTTTTCCTCTAATTTTCAACCATTAAGGGCAAAATGAGAGTCAAAACAAACTCAAGCAGTAACCCCTCCTCTTCTCCCTCTGCTCCTCTTCGAGACGGGAGAAACTACATCATACACCACAGCCAGAGGCATTTGTGGCAGTCAGGTAGCGCAGCAGTAGTAACCAGCTCCAGTCAGTCAGTTGTACTGCTAATTACAACCAGAACAATTCAATACAAAGGTACAAAATTGAAATGCTAACGTTGACGCTAATGATGTCAACATATACACATTAGCTAGCTACATTACTTGCACGTCTAGCAGGATGAAAGCCACATCTATGTCAGATTTTGGTCCTTTGGATGCTTTTAATGCTATCTATCTCTGACATGCCAAACTGATGTTAACCCTGGTTTTGCCTCGTTCTTTGTTGCACTCTTTCTGTGCTACAGAACGTGGCCTCTTGGATCTAACAGGTCCACTACCATCCTGGGTTATGCCTGCACAGGGAACCTCCATGGTTCATCTTTGAAATGAGCTATACCGGTTTGAACGATGTGTATTATAACCTTGGATCAGCAGGGGTGTGGAAAAAGTGAGGTGTTGATTTTAACAAAAGTGGCCACAGAGGGAAAGAAATAAGCACAAGGCCTGAAGATAGAGTGGGATGGGGTGGTTGTTTGTACAGCAGGGAGAAAACAATTCTAAACAATCTTTTTGCTTGATTTATACAAATATATGCTAAATCTTAGTTTATGTAGCTTTTAAGTAGCATGGTTATGTTGTTACAAAATAAATGTGAAAGTAGGATTACACTCAACTAGATTTTGCCTGATTCTGTGAGAAGACACTGTTTTTGGCCTTCATCATCACAGTACAGCTGCTTCTTTAAACATTATATGCAGGTGAATCCTCTTGAGGTAATTATCCTGCACCTGGTTAAGTAATCATGACAAAAGCAAGCTTGGTTCCTAGGACTCAGGAAAAAGTGACAAATATTTTCAGTCTGAAGCATAGCCCAACAATCAGTCCTCCAACTTAAGTACATCAAGAAGCATCAGTGTCATGCACACACACACAAGATACAATCAGCTCTACCACAGGTTAATAAATATAAAAAAATGTATATCTGTACAAAAAAGTTAAATATACTGTAGGTTCAGACACGCATCGCAAAAATTTGGCATACTGCCATTTATAAATAAATAGGTTACGTAGCCTGTCTTCTAATGCTTCTAATATGTTTAGAAACATAACTGTGGGTTGTGTAATAATGTCTAATAATGAGTGCTAAATGCATTTGCCTTCCTGTTGCATTCATGTAAACAGACCAGCATTATATTAAATGCAATAAGCGATAGGGTTACATGGTAAATCGTTTTGTGAGCATAATTTAGATCCCTTTGTGATCTCAGTCTCACGTGACAACAGTGTGGCAGTATTTGCATTAGCAGTGAGATCCCTTCATCAAACCAAGTGCTCCCTTTTACTTACTAAGTTGCATCAACCAATAACTGCAAATAATAGCTGCAAAGTGAATTATTTCTGCCTCAACTGCTATTCAGCCCTAGGTGTACAGGGCAAGCAGTGCAACATTTGAAAAATAGTTACAGGAGGGCAGAGAATATCTTTCACAATGTCATACATGTTGGATTTGTTTTTGAATCAGTCTTCTTCCTGTCTACAGCTCATAATGTGATGTAATGCATTTCCTGCTATTGGTTAATGCAGCTTAGGGAGGAAAAGGGAGCGCTTGGTTTGATCCATGGAATCATCCTGCTAATACAAACATGGCACAGTCATTGTCGTGTAACTCTGAGATTGCAGGGTGGCTCATATTTATAAAATTTTTTTTGTTAAAACATGTATATTCTTCTAGCTCTGTTGCCTCACAGCAAGAGTGTTCTGACTTCAAGCCCGGCCGTCCCGGGGTCTTTCTATGTGGAGTCTGCATGTTCTCCCTGTGCATGAGGCTTAGGTTGATTGGT